TGTTGGCCAGCACATAGGCAACATGAGCATAAAATGGGAGTAGGTGAGATGAGGATGTTGAGGTGGATGTGTGGTTATACGAGGATGGATAAGATAAGAAATGAAGATATTCGACAAAGGTAGGAGTACTACCGGTGGCTGAGAAGATGAGAGAACATATATTGAGGTGGTTTGGGCACGTAATGAGAAGGCCCCTTGATGCTCCCGTAAGAACAAAAATTTGTTACCAAGAGCTCAACACAAAAAGAGGTAGAGGTAGACCAGAACTTACTTGGGGGAAGGTAGTAAAATAAGATTTAATGGAGTGGGATACAGATTGGCAGACGGTATGCCTTAGAACGGAATGAAGAAAAGCTTTAAGCATGGTGGAGGGTTAGACCCGTTGCTATTCCTATGTTCCAGATAGTCCCTTTTTAGTCCTTTTCCCCTTCGTTTCCCCTATTCTTCTTTTCCCTTTCTTTTTTACTTTTATATTTATATATATATATATATTATTACTATTCTATTTATTTATTTTTATTTTTACTTTTATGTTTCTTTTTTCAATCTTTTTGTATCTTTCATTTGGGTTCATCTACCACCGACCTCAATTAATTTGAGATAATGGTGTTGTTGATGTTGATTTTTTGGTAAGTCCTCCGTATTAATAAATATGATTTTTTTGCTAAGATTTATAACATGTTCTAATGTTAGAGTCAGATAAAACAAAATTCCTAAACTTGTTATTAGATGCTTTAAAGGCAGTGGCGTAGCCACGTTATACTTATGTAGTAGGACCTGGGTCCCAGCTACATTTTAACAAATTTTATTTATTATATATAATTATATAAATAATTAAAGGCCTGGGCTCCAGCTACATTTTAACAAATTTTATTTATTATATATAATTATATAAATAATTAAAATTGACCATAGCTAAAATTGTGAGTTGGCCCTAGCTAAAATTATAACAGTGGTAACAGATGAAGATATGGAGTTGCTTTGCGTGTGTGACCAACTAACAGATTGCTTTTTTCTTAATTTCTTCTTCTTTTTCTTTCATCCTTTTCCAATTAGGATTTTCTTCTAACTTTTTTTTTCTTATTCGCACTCACCACCCGGAACTCAGCTATTATGCGATAAGGTACGATGTTTCGTTCTTTTCTCAAGATTTTATGGATACAAGTTCTTGGAATGTGCATTGGTAATTATATTGTCCGTTGGGGGGAGAAATTGATTTAAATTTTTGAACCTTGTAAAAGAGAAAATTTTTGTCTTTGCTGACCATAATTGTTTATTGGGTGTTTCTAATATGAGTGAAATTCATGCCCTTTTTTTGTGTGGTTGTATTTATTGATTTTATTTCTTTTGAAAAAATGGAGTGCTACTTCATGTTTGCATTTTATTTTTTTTTAAATTTTTTTTTTTTGGTAAATAAAAAAATTATTTTAATGTAGAGCTACAGTATCTATTGATAATGGAATTGAATTGTTTTTTTGGTGTTATTTGTATTTGATTTCACAACAGGGATGAGAATTTTGGCGATTAATCAGTGAAAACTGTTAAAGAGAAAAATCAATGAAGATATATATATGTGTGTGTGTGGAGCATGAAAATTTCTTGTACAAATTCATTAACAACTTCTTTGTTTTTTTGTATTTTTAATTTTTTTTAAATATCTAAACATTGATTAAATGATTTGTGTGGATCCAATGTCATTTAAATGATTTTAGACATTTGTCGTTGATTGTTCAATATTTCTTCTTAATTGTGAAGTTTGTTGTCCCTCTACGTTGATGTTCTTCACAGGTCACGGCTAAGGGTATAATAGGCCAAGTTAGGCCAAACTTTGGCTTTGATAGCTTAAGCCTACGTAAAATATTTAGAGTCTATACTGGCCTATTAGTCTATCAAAAGATTGATTTATAGATTTGGCCTGACCTATTATAAAAAATTAAGGGCCTGTTTGGAGCACCTGATAAAGAAGATATGATAGGATAACTTATCATATCCTACTTTTATCTCTTGTTTGGTGGGTCAATAAGATATGATTAGCTTATCCTATTATCTCATTTTATCATATCCAATACATGATTTCTTATCCTACAGGGGGAGTTGGGTTATGATTCAATGAGATAAGATACCAATATTGGATACCCAATATATCTCCACGCTACCCAATATATTTTCACGCTACCCAATATATTTGTATTTATTGCATTATTTTTTATTTTTCCTTTCTCCTTCTACGTAATCTTATCAGATTGCTAATCAGGTGCTCATCAAACACAGGACATGATATAGACTTATCAGCCCTATATCATATCATACCCTTATCTTATACTGTCCACCAAACGAGCCTTAAAAAATCTAATACGACCTGTAAGACCACCAAGTTGCAAACTAAAGTTTATAGGCCCAAAACAAATTAAAAAATAAAAGATAAAAAATTTATTCACAAAGATCACATGAAATAAATTTTCATTAACATCACATGAAACAAATTTTCATTAACATCACATGAAATAATGTTCATAAAGATCACATGAAAATGTTCATAAAAATCACATGAAAATTTTCATGTATGTATATATACATATAATTTGCACTTTGTTTATTAATTTAGCTTTCTATTATATTTTTAATTTTAAATAAATTATTATTATTTGTTAAAATAACATCAATTCTATTTCTTTGAAAATTTTAAGTACATTTTTTTCTTAATAGATTTGTCAAAAAATTTGGCTCCAGCTAAAATTAAATCTTAACTTCGCCATTGTTTGAAGGAACTTGACCAAAATATTTATGAAGTATGAAATTTAAGAAGATAAAAAAAAGTGAATTCTTGATTGTAATTAAATTGAGAGTCGCATTGGCTGGCAAATTTTCCTTTTATAAATGTTAATTCTGATGATTTTTGTGTTTTTAATTCCCCTCCCCTTGGCATTGGTCTGCTGTTTGATGTAGATTTAGCTTCTATTTGTAAAACTCGTCGTATTTCAGTTATTTAATTTGTGATGTGGTGTGTTTTAACCAGCTTACCAAAAAAAAAAAAATTGACAGTCACGTGTAGCAAGAAATTCCTAGGATACGGACAGGACGATGGATCTCTGTCCATTTTGGATATGAAACATGCCTTAAAACAAAAAATAGCTGACTTCCTTGTGTTCTATGACAAAAAAAAAAAAAAAACAGGTGAATGCTTGCTACATGTTATTGACTAATTCAAAACCAATTAGAACGCAAAAGCTTAAAGAGTATTTTACAAGTAAAATATTATAATACGAATCAGCTTGTGTGCTTGTCCTCGAGCATATAGAATTTGAGTTTGTAGTTAAAGATTCCCGCTTGTAAGATAGATATAAAAAAAAATTAAAAGTGAGACAAATTATAATTATATTAAAGAAAATAATATAGATATAAGATAATATTTGTATGACCACAGTAAATAGCTTTGCTCTTTTTAAGTTTCTTGCTTTTCAGTACCCATAGGAATGCATATATACGTGCTCTTGTACCATGAAACCACTGGCAAGGTCGACAGAACAATCAATCGATTTAAGCATGATGGGCCCGTTAGTAGCAGCTGCCATATGGGTAAGGTTTGGCAATACGAGTGCTATCAAAATGGAAATGGTTTAGACGAATAATTACATACAGATGTGCCCACTCTCAATATGAGAAATAATATTTCAACTTATTTTTTTTTTGTTAAATATATTTTAATGTTTCACCATTCTGTAAAGATATATTTTCTAGGAATTATGAATTTATTTAACATTAAATTTTATTTTCTTGGTTAAGTTATATGGTATTAATATAAGTCAAAAGCACCGGTGCTCTCGGTTCATGATTCCAATGTGTTCTCTGTAACTATTTGCTAGTTAGTACGAATATAATTAACTCATAATCATAATTTTACTGAAAAATTGCCACTTTATCAAATAAAACAACCACTTGTTAACTTACACATAATTGTTTCTCACTCAAGTTGTATAACTCACCGCCATCATAATTGTTTATATGAATTTGATGTAGCTTTGCTTTGCTTATCTTCATGCAAAGTCAAGAACATGATCCAACAGCGAGAAAGAGTAAAAGAAAGAAACAATAGGTAGCAACATGTATCACTCGATTGTGTTGGGTCCAGTGGGATCAACAGTAATCTTGTGAACTCACCAAAAAACTAAAGCTTCGCTCTTGCAGACATGTTTCTTTCAAGGGAGGGCAAACAAGAGAGCAATTATCTGCTTGCCACATGATTTCACTTGTTTTGCGACCTGGAAAGTAGAATCCACCTTTATGAGATCTCCTTTCTATTATATCTGTGTAAAGAAAATTATGTATGAAACCATGAATATTATGTTATTATTCCTCCTCCTCTTTTAGATTTTGGGTTTTCCAACTTTCCTGGTCAAGGTATGTGGGCATGGAATGCGATTTCGGCTCATACGCGTTACAGCAAATTTCCCTCATTTCCCACCTTTGACCTTTCTTCCTTGTTAAGCTTTCGTTAATTAAAAAGTCCATTTCGTTTCAAAAGCTGCATGTTCAGCTGAGAAATAACTTTATATTAAGAAACAGTTCAACAAATTTTAAAGACTCCCCCGCGTAGTGCTGTCATCGTAGACTCAACACAGTATATTAATTTCGATTAGTTAGAACTTAGTATGGAGATGACAACGCAGCAAAGCAAAGCTGTTTCATCTATTCAGGTTTGGCTAGGGATTTCAGCACATAATTCTTTGTAGACTATAAGAACCACTAGCCAAGGGATTAAGGTAGGTCCTTATTTTTGCTAAGAGTACAATTCGGCCAGCATAGACCATGGCACATGGTGGAGAACTATTGCACATGGTGCTCACAAACTCTTATAATAATAATCAAATCAAATTGCAAGAAACAACGCCAGAGAAATAGCCTCTAGAGAAGATCTTATTGAATATATATAGCAATATTTTATCAGATTCAGTGACGATGGAGTATACATAAAATGAACTCAAATTCGGTTAGATCATCTTTATTACCACAAGCTATCACAGAAATCAACTAGACAAAACCTATCTTCTGCAGGATAAATAAACATCAATTATAGACATCTCAAAATGAAATAAAAATTAAAAAGGACAAAAACTGAAGGAAAAAAAAAAACCTATCGTACATACAGATCAATGAATCAACGCCTGTTCCTATACCAAGATTTGAAAAAGTCGAAAAATGAGTTGATTTTTTCATTTCATTTTTAGGGTCTTGCAAAAATACCCCAAATCTTACCACGACCAAGGCTTTCCAAGAGTTTCTTGGACCCCTCAACATCCATGTCAACAAGTTTCTGCGCATATAGACAAGCACCCGCAGCAACCATTTGCTTCCTACACTTCTTGGAATGAACGAGCGAGGCCAACAACGAAACAGGGTATTTCTTATCCAAATTCTGCAACAAAGGATTCAAGAGCTGAACAGCACTCACTATGCCCCTCTCATCCTTACGGAAAACCCTTCTATTCCCTGCATGCAACATCAACATCGATAAGGCTTTCGCAGCTGATTCTTTCTCTTCCACACCCTTACCATCCAACATGTTAATCAAAGGGGTAACACACCCACATTCACCCATCTCTTTCCTCGCCTTTGTGCTGCTGAACCCCAAAGCATAAACAGCCCTAGCCGCAGAAATTCTCAACGCCATCACCCCACAATTCAACACCCCAACAACGCGGGGCACAAACCCATAAGAAACGAGAACCTCAGCAACCTTCGAATTCGAAGCCAAGTTCATCAGAAACTCAACCGCAACCTCGAGACTCCCACCCGAGTCCCAGAAATTCTTCAAACACTCGACCCCACCTTCCTTAACGACCAAAAGCTTCAAACTTTCTTCCTCCGACACCAAATTGGACAAACACCCAATTGCATTCTCTTGCGCCGATGCGGTTCCCGAAGAAGCGACCCCCAAAAGAACAAGAACCGCGTTTTCCTCGATGAAGTTCTCCTTGATTTCTTCAAAAGCCGCGAGATTTCTGAGAACCCCAGCTGCGAATGCTTGCGAACAGGGCGTGCCAGCCTGGCAAATCTCCAACAGAGACGAGATTCCACCCCTTGACCCGATCGCCATGGCGTTCTCCTTCGAGAAACTCAGTGCTTGAAGCGCAACGCAAGCCTTCTCTTTCGCGAACCCACTTCCCGAGTCAAGAACTCGGAGCAAGTGATTCAATAGCAACAAACCCTCCGTGATGAGAACGTGCTTGGTGCTATCCACGACTGAAACTCTTGAAATGGCTGAAACGGCCTTTTCCTTAATCTCGGAAGAGGAGGATGAATCAAGCAAGCGCAGGAGCACGGGAACCACACCCTGCGCCACGGTGATCATGACACTCTTATCGTCCTCATGGAGCAAACCCAGCAAGGAGTCCATGGCGGAATTTCTGGAGTCGAGTGACCCGATTTGCAAGCGGGTAATGAGGTTGTTGGTGGGTTCGGGTCCGGTACGGAAGAGAATGTCGCAGTCGGTGACGTGGCGGTGGAGGGTGGAGAGGAGGGAGTCGAGGTCGCTCTGCGTCTTGAGCTTGCCCTGGGAGGGGTTGGGGGAGTGGCACTCTATGGCGAGGGAAACGGCGTCGTGAAGGGTTAGGGAGAGGGAGCGGAGAAGGTGGAGGGAGAGAGGGTTGGAGGAGCAGTTAGAGAAGAAATCGGGATTAATGAGTTGGGTTTGGAGATGGGTGAGTTTGGCTGAGATGAGGGACCACTTTCCTTTGAAGCTTTGGATTTTGGGGATTTCATGAAGAACAGAGGAGAGGAGCTCAATCGAGACATTCAAGTGATGATGGGTTTCGTTTTCGGTTTCGGTCTCGGGTAGTGTCATGATTGTTGCCTTGTGTTGAAGATATTTCCCAGATACAGATGCAGATAGTGGTCTAATGGGGTTGTTGCTTCGTTTGCTAGGGGGGGTAGGGTTTAGAAAGAGAAGAAAACAGAGGAAGGGAGTAAGTAACTGACCAAAAAGTTTATGGCTTCCAACAATTGACGTAAGCGTTTGGAGCGTGTCTCACACGTGCTATATTATATATAGAGTTACGAATTACGAATCAGAGTCGTTGATTTTTTTTTTACCTAATGACTATCAGATGAACTGTCAACAGCCATTTTAATTAAAGTTATCTATATCTACTAAAAACTACGTCATTTTCATTAATGAATAGTATTTTTATAATTTTAGGTGAATCAATAAAGGGTGTTTCCGTAATTCTGTAATTATATTTATATTTAACTGTTTTAATTTATTAAAGGGTTTAATAAGAGTTATGTTGTAGGAAAAGTGACTGTGTTATGTTATAAAGATTCGTTTTGCGTGCCAATTTTTTTTTTTTTTTGCTGCGGGCTCCACAAAATGTTGTGTGTGTAAGAAATTTTTTGTGATGATGTTAAATAATGAATGCAAATCCCTTTATTAAATATATATAACATTTTATCAATAACAAAAACATCATGATTATTAGATTACAAAGTTTAATACTTCATCTGCGCCATCAAATTTTATTAATTAAATAGTTATAATTTATTCAGTTGTATTTAATAATTAATTATTAGTTTTGGATAAATTATAATCATCATATTAATAAAAATTAATGATTTAGATGAAAAATAATTTTTAATTTGATACGGATATTAAATGATCCATATATAAAGAGAATATTGTTTAAAAATTGAAAGTTAATCGAGTAAACCTGTTAAACATTGCTCTTGTATAAATTTGTTGTTTTGTGGGAGAATGAATATACTTTGATTTTGGGTAGTGTCATGAATTTAAAAAATATAAGCGTCGGGCCTTTTTCTTTATTTTCCCTGTGTCGTAAAATTGACACAATGGCATGGTTGGCTAGTGGCAACATTTTAATTTCACCGGTATTGTGAAAATTTAATTAAATAAAAAATAAGCAGGTACACTTGTTAAAATACTTTGGTGCTTATTTCTGATGTCAACAGTTAAACTTACGAAATGAAACAATTTTTTTACATGCATATTTAAGAGGGGTTAAATGCGGATATTTTATCAAAGTCAGTTTATCCCCCCAACCTATTTAAAAACCATCGAAATCCTCACATTTTGCAAGAATTAAAACCAAATATTTCCAGTTTATCAAAAAAAAAAAAAAAACCAAATATTCCCTACCAAAAAAAAAAGCAAATATAATTTTGTTTACGATGATAATTCAGGTTGATCCAATACCACATAAATTTTTTATAAGAATATATATTTAACACAAATTTTAAAATAAGAAAAAAAATTACACAAATATAATTTGCTTATCTATGGCTTGGTACGACACAACACAAATAATGTGTAATCTCAAAATGTGTCGATTATTATACTGGTTAACACGACGCTATATGATATTGATATAACATGACATTAATAACCTATAAGAAAGTTAATATAAATCGATTTCGTATTTACGGATTAACACTCAATGTCTCACCTATCTTCTCGCTTCAATTTTTACCCATATAAATATAAGAAAATCATTGTCTCACTTTACATGAGATAACTATTTCATGTTTTTCTTACATAAAAAGTTGTGTCACACTTTTTTCTTTTTTTAATGGATGATGGGCCCCACCAAATTATGTATCTATGGTAGAAGATACTTATCTCCAACAACATGAGAAAAATAGAACCCATAAATATAATTCAATTTTTACCCATATAAATATAGGAAAATCATTGTCTCATTTTACATGAGATAACTATTTCATGTTTCTCTTATATAAAAAAGTTGTGTCATCACTTTTTTCTTTTTTCTTTTTTTTTAATGGATGATGAATCTCACCACATTATGTGTCTATGGTAGAAGATACTTATCTTCAACATGAAAAAAATAAAACCCATAAATATAATACAAATTTGAAAACGGATGAATAAAACACAAAATTTTTATGTTCTATTTGTTTGGTTTTAGTGAGTAAAAAATCGTCACCCATCTCAGCCGTTAATGAACAGAAATCAACGATTGTCATTTATAGTGTAATTAATAATTAATTAATTAATATAATTTCGTAAACTATAACCGTTGGATGAACGAAAATCAACAGAAAAAATAATGAGTAAGACTTATAAGTCTGCTTACCAAAAAAAAAAGACTTATAAATCTTACTCTAAAATCAAATGATCTCTCCTGTACAAGAGAGAGATAAAGTAGTGCTATATGAGAGTGTGGCGAGTAGACGCAGGCCAACATGAGAGTGGTGGAAGGCAAAAGTGTTAAAGAATAGGGGAGGAAAGAGCATAGGTTACATTAAAAACATTTATGATTTTACTATAAAAAAAAACATTTATGAGGAGAGTGAGCAGTGGGTCCGGGGTCCAGCCTTTTCAATAATACCCGACTTTATGAAGTTCGCGACAGGTAACCCCAGCATCGCATTCACACTCTTTTTTTCCCCATTCCATTCTTATTGTTTATGTTATTTTATTATTTGAAAAAATATTTGTCTTTTTAAATAATACAATATTATTTTACTCTCATAAATATATGAGATCTACATTGTTTTTTGTCTGTTCTCATTTTTTTATGATTTATCTTTTTCTTTCATTTAAAATGATACAATTTTATTTCCTTTAAAATGATAAACACTTTTTCTTTTATTATTTGTATATTTTCTTATCAGTTATGTTAATTATTAATGTTTGCCTGAATCCAAATTCAATCTCTTGTATTTAAGTTCTTAATCATGAAAATAAAATTTAAAACTAGATAATTTGCTTTGTAATCAAATAGTGTAGGACGCGTGTAATTCAAGAGCAAGAGCAAATTACACGGATTAATCATTAATTTCCGATTGACTGAATGGTTCCATACATTTTTAGCTAATTGTCAGTTATATTCAACATTACCAATTGATCAGATATTTTTATGTGCTCTAATAGCTAGTTTGGATGAATTTTTTTTTCAAAAGTTATTTTTTAAAAAAAAAATATTTCTCAAAAAAAGTGTTTGTATACCTGCTTTTAAAAAAAGTAGAAATTATTAAAAAAAGTTAAAAAAAAATTGAAGTTAAAAATTTTAACTTTTTAAAAAAGCAGAAGTTAAAAGTTAAATATTTTTTTTAAAAATCTAAATAACAATAATTTTTATAGAAAATACTTTTAAATTATAAAAAGACTTTTTTAATAAGTAAATACAAACGGGCTATGTGATTAAGAATGCCTTTTGCAGTATTGTATACCAGCTGAACATGTATGGGATTGAACTAATTGGGTCCTCCAACCAATTTCGATAACTTGCTACTTCAGTCATGCAATAAATTTTAATAAAATGTTTGAGGATGAAGAATTTCAACGAGTTCACTATTTATTGCCTCTTAAAAAGCGAAGAGAAGCCAACCAACTCTTGAAATTGTAATAAATTTTTATTCTCGCATAATAAATCTCAGATAGAAACCCATGCAAAGCACAAGCTAGACAATCTTTCTTACCAAATTAACTTATACCAACTAAATAACCTTAAAAATACAAACCACAGATACACGAAGAATATATAGTGTAACTAGTAGAATAGAATATTGCAATATAAAAAAATATATCGACCCATTTCTTCTTATATCGACCACCTCTCTTTTTTTTTTTTTTTGGAGTTACCCAACCCTAATTATCTCTTTGAGACGAGTTGGCTCCCTCCGGTATCCCCACGAGCATCGACTCTTTGAGCCGGCTATGGGACTAATCCGGAGTGCGGGGGAACAGTGATGGCTAAAGGTTCAGCCCCCTCCCCAAGAATGCATTCAGCGGGAATCGAACACATATCCAATCCCACTAACTCAGCGCCAAGTTATATCGACCACCTCTCTCTAATTGGTCTTTTCCAATGTCTATAGAAATCAATTCGTTCAGTAATTTCAAATTGACCATTTTCCAAAAAATGAAAAAGGCAAGTAAATTTCATTTAGCCTTTTTTAGAAAAAAAAAATCCCTAATTGATATGATTCCTAACTCATTAATTTAGCCTTTTTTTATACAAGTAAATAAAAAAGGAACGTATTCTCTCATATTTTAATTGATATGATTAGACTATGACCATGTAAAACTATTGATCGTTCAATCTTTAGCTTTCAAATTTCTATATTGTCTATTTTCTTTCTATTTTATTTTCTATATGAAAAGTAGTCCATCACAGCAATGCTTAATCTCTCTTCTCTTTATATAAAGAAGGTTGTTGCGACTTTGGCAAGTGCACCGATCGTACAAGTAATAAAGTGGTAAAATAAAGTTGTCGATCCCACAAGGACTAATGAGTAATGACCAATCACTAATTTACCTATTCAATTAAAGTTGGATCGATCGTGAAAGGAGTTTCTTGAGAATATTTTAATTAAATTAAAATAGAATTTTAACTACTTATATTTAGTTTTCAATATTCAAGAAATTAAATTTATAATTTATAATGCTAGAAAATTGGTTTTAAATTTTTATGAAAGACGTAGCTAGGATTCAACTCCCCCAATAGTTTCCCAACGAATCTACCTATTCTTATGATTACATTCAAGATCAAGTTATTAACAGTTCTTTCTATATTCGATTAAATCTCAATCCCTTGGTAATTCAATCCTTTACTCCACTCAAAAGCCTAATCCCTTAGTACTTTTTCATAAAATAAGCATTAACGCAAGAAGTTACAGTTATAGAATTCACAAGTCTATCCTAGATCATATAAATTCCAGCAATCAATCAATCGGAATTGATACACCAACATCCCTATTGTCATGCATAACTCATATGTTTATCTACGAGTGATCAATTCATAAATAAAGCTAATAATAAATAACAGATTAATTGCATAACTTTAAATCAAGAACGTAAATCATAAGATAGGCAAACAGCGTTTAAGAACCCATTGTTTCCGTCTCGCCCTAACTACTTAAAGAA